GGTGACGGGGCCGTAGGGCTAGGCGACGGGGCCGCTAGGACGATGGGGCCGCCAGGGCGACGAGGCCGCTAGGGCGACGGGGCCGCTAGGGCGGCGCGACGCAGTGAGAGAGAGGAGTGCGACTCGGGCTGAGCGCGCTCTGGGCACGAAAAAAAAATCGATGTGGTGGGCTCTAGGCACAGTTCCCACTAGGAAACCTGCACGATACCATGAGAAGACTGAAACGAGAATGATTGACTAAGGAACGAAACTGATACAAATATGCAACCCTAGAAATGTGTACCCCATATAGGCTACCCCACTATAGCCTACACAACATTATAATTTGACAGGAACGATGCTCAGGTAAGGAAAGACCACGTTGCCACCCAAAACCCAATCCTTCCTCATGCCTCCATCGTTGCACTGATATGTCAAGAGCATCTTGAGCCCTAAACCGTGTATCCGTTGCCGCTTTATAGTGCACTGCAGGAACACTTCGGTTGGTCCGAAGTTGTGGGGGGGATCATCTTATATTCGGATGTGAAGCACATGAGCATCAACGGCCGGAAGAAGGCGTGGCCGCTCATGATGACGCTGGCCAACATCTCCCAGGCCAAGCGATCGGGGAAAGCCGGGCACACACTACTTGCCCTCCTTCCTATCCCCCCGTCTGCAATGTCTGCCGTGGAGAAGGTGATGCTCTTCCAGCGTTGCGTCATCACCGTGCTGCAGCAGCTTCTTGATGGCATCGCCAGGTCCGTACTCGGTTTGCATCTTGCTAAGATATCATCTCACCACCTGCATGGTATGCAAACCCTCTCTGTATGTAGCATGGCCCTTTGCCCCTAGTCGTTCCTCCCTAAAAGCCGTAACCCAAATTCCTGTTGCCCCTCTATCTGTTCCTTGCAGCGGGTTCCGTCTCAGGGATCCTTTCGGTAATTGGCAAACTGTGCGGCCCCTGCTGTACGCCTGGGTGTGCGACTACCCTGAGAGCCGCAAGATCAGTTGCACACTCTCGCATGGATCGCGGATGCCGTGCACCATCTGCTATGCTGCATAGGTGAGGTCACATGCCATCTCCACGCATTCAAATACATTCTCGTTTGTGGGTCGCCTGATAGAACCCACATAGCTACCACCCTTACCTTTTCTATCCCATCCCTCACCCCCGTGCTCCAACAGGAGCATCTGAGTGCTGTCAAGGCACGGAACACGCCGCGCACGCCTGAACAACAACAATGGATCGTTAACGAGGCGGCTGGGAGGACAACTAGCCAGGCTGACCCGTGCAAGGCCTACTCTACCTACCCTGTTGAGGTGAGTGACCTGTTTCCCTAGCCCATGAGTAGTCTATGCTCTCGCCCGCCCCGTCATGAATTGCCAGATGTGCTCTGCCCCATTGAACTCACCCCACTTGTGGTTTAGGTTAGCTATCCACTCTCACGTACATCTCTCCTCCATTCCCCACCACATCCCCATTTCCAGTGCGTGCTCTGGAAGTGGGATGTCCCAGGGACCGCGTGGGGCAATCCCTACCTCGTGGTGATGCCTGACATCATGCACCAGGCGGACCTGGGCATCATGAGCCACATTGTGACTGTCGTGCGCAAGATGAAGAAGCGGCGTGTGAAGCAGATGGACAGGTCAGTGTTTTTGGGATTGGATTCGTTGCTCTTCGTCACATTTACTCAAACCGTCAGTTGTGTCCTATTACTGACATGTTTCTGCCCTTTTGCCACTACTGAACTGATGTGTATGGGCAAGCGCCTGTCTCTCATTCGCGACCGCACGCGCCTGAATCACATGCGCCTGCCGGAGAGCGCCTACTTCGAGACCGGAGCATGTGTGGCGGCCTATGAGCACAGGGCCGTCATGCAGGTATGAACCCTCCATTCCCTGTTGCTTGTCCTGGCCTAAACCCTCAAGCAGTCTGCTCATGCTGCCATTGTTTGTCCCAACTCCTCACACCATCTGTGCTCACCCTCCCCTTTGCTGCTATCCGCATTCTTTGCAGGTCATGGTGTTTGTTTTTGCAGGCCTGCTTCGCCAGCCCCAGATGGATGCCGTTCGTGCCTATCTTGGCTGGTACATCCTGTGCTCCCAGCCTCAGGGGCACACTGAGCGGTCCCTCCGGGAGCTGAAGAAGATGACCTCTCGGTAATAAACCACGCATGTAAACCCCCGTGCGTGGGATGAATGCTTGGCTACTGTAAATGTGCTCTTGTAGTAGGCAATCTTATGAGGATGTTTGGTGCTAAACTTTGATAGGAAAGGATCAAGAATAGGAAAACCATATGAATAAGTAGACTCTGTGATTGCATGTGTTGTCATCTCCCACTCCCATCAGGCTCGTTGAGCAGTTGCAGGCTGCGTTTCCAAAGCAGCCATCCTCTTGGTGCCTTGTGAAAACACATCTCATGTCGCACTACGTTGACTCCATACGTCGCACGGGTCATGTGAATGAATTCAGCACCAACATGTTCGAGCACTTGCACGGACCGTTGGTAAAGAGGATCTACCGTCGGTCCAACAAGCGCAATGTAGATGGGCAGATCATGAAGTTCCATGCTAGGCGCATTCCGGATGTGGTGCCGGTGGATGATCCTGCTGGCCGGGACACCGCCATGCGGCAGGTAAATCTGTTTAGTGCTTGAATTGCATGGATATGAATGCAGAATGTAATAATATCAATAGCATATGTTGGCAGGCGATTGAGACCGACACACGGACGCTCATCAAGGAGTCATACTTCCTCCCTGTGGAGTTACCACAAGAACCCACCTCCACCAACTGGTTTGCAAGGAAGTGGGCCAAGCAACACCCTCGTGCCCAAGCTGCCCTCAAGGATGCGCTTATGCGTTATGCAGGATGCGTCACCAAGATTCGAGTAAGTAGTTGCAAGTTTATGCAATCAACCATCATTTGGCTGGCTCGTATCATACATGTTTAACATCAACTGTTATGCAGGCCCATGCATCGCTGGCAATCCCTGCAGCAGACAACGCCAGCTTCTCAAGAGTTTCTCACTTCGTTCGAGCGACCCCTGACTATTTTGAGAGGCCATGGTACTCGGATGTTGCAGTGGAGGGTGTAAGGTATGGTCGGAGAGAGGAGTCGTATGCAAGGTTGCTTCTGTTGTTCCATACAAAAATACGTGGAGAGAGGGAGGAGCTGGCTTACGTTAGATATTGGAATGCAAGCGGAGAGGATACAGCAACAGGATGCCTTCGCCTCAAGTGGACGACAGGAATGTACGCGTACTCCGTGATTCCGATTGAAGCGCTGCTCCGCCACGTCCATGTGGTGAAGGCATTCCACCTGGACAGTACCTATCTCCTTAATAAGTATCAAATGTGATGCATTTATCTTGTAATAAAATGGCCAGCATATTTTCAAGCAGACACATTTTAGGGAAGTCAAAGCTAAAAAAACCAATTACAAAATCACAACAAAATTGGCACGCTTCAAATAAACGGCAATGTACCGGAGTCACGGATTCAATTTAGACTTTGACAAACAAACGCGGTCCGATTTCATTCCGTGATTGGTCGTGATTTGGCTTCGGAACTTTGCCAACCAAAACACCTGAACTGTACCCCCCTTCGAACCCCCTTCAAAAACCAAGGTTTTTTGTGATGGACGGATCTCGTTGCAGATGGGTTATGGATCACCGTGAACCACTCCTTGCGGCCGGTCATGTGTTGGGAGCATCCCGAGTCAAGGAACCACAAGTCCTTTTCGTCGGCCAGCAATTTTGCAGCCGAACACGCGACGGTGAGCACCATGCCTTTCCCGTCTCCTTCAGCTACGTTCGCGGCTGCCGCGGGCGTTGTATCCTCCTTGTTGGTGCACTTGGCAGCCATGTGCCCCTCTTCATGGCAGTTTTAGCAGCGCCCCTTGAAGGGGCCTCACTTCTTCTCCCACTTGCCATCCTTCTTCTTGTCCGTCTGCTGTCTTCCCCCTTTTCCTTAGGTCCAAGAGGCGAGAAGGGAGTGGAACTAGGGAAGGAAGTGTACCCAAGGCATGCAACGAAGGACTTAATGGACGAAGGGCTCACCATTGAGAGATGGAAGGTGAAGGAAGTGAAGGACTGGAGTCCTGGTGGGTGAGAAGGGAGAGACGAAGAAGGATCACATCACTAATGTGGCGGTAGCCAATCCCAAAAGGGAAGCAAGGGTCTCACTGCCAACGGAAAGGGAAGTCTATCGGCTCAAACAGAAAAGGGAGCCGAGGATGGGGCAAGTGAGTGGGCAGGAGGTTCGAGGGGAAACCAGGGAGAGGAAGGGCAATGAAGGGGTCAGCAGGAAGAACTAAGGCAAGAGGAAGCTAGCCAGGGGAGCATGAGGATCCACATAAGGGAAGATTCCAACACTTTTGTCAGTCACCCAAGTACTCTCGGGGGTAATGCCCTGAAGTGTTTTGATCATCGGACAAGGCTATTCATAACCATTTTAGTACACATCAACCGTTCAAATGATAAGTTTTCATCCTCAAATACAAGAGACACAACAACAACTACAAATAGAGCTCTCTCAACACCCATTTGTCATATTCGAAGGATTACGATACGGAATCGGTAATTTTGTTAAGAAAAAGGGGTGTAGGTATGGAACACACAGCAACTAACAATAATGGGCAAACACTACATGCTTTCATATCCCAATTTTGTGGATATGTTATGGCGTGAACTTAGACACTTTGTCAACCACACTTCTTTGGCGTCATACTCGCTTGGTGCTGCAAGGTGCATTGAATTTTTTCAATTCTGTTTTGTAACGCAACCTCATCAATTGTACACTCACACACATCAAATCTGGTTTTGTAGACATGTGCAATGTTCAATGGAACATCTCAATGAAATACAAGGCTTCACATATGCAGCTTGGGGTTGCTCAGATTTCGAGTGTATTACATACAGGGGGTGACGTTATTAGTGCAGTGCACTAAAACGAGAGAGGAAGTTCAATATCTAGTTGCAGGTCATGCATTTTGTGACATCCAAGGTGGGCCCAGCAGCACTACTCAATCATCCTCCACGTCTCCGACAACGAATGAGTGGGGCTCCTAGAAGCACACGTTCCACTTGCTGCCTCTGGTCGCTCGCTTGTTCCAAATGTGTCCGAACGGATGTTCCTGCCATGCGAGGGCATTCCCTCCATGCGCAGGCTGGGTACAGCAAGGGAGGAGTGGTCGTTGTCACTGCAGTAGAAGGAGAGGAGGTGTTGCAGGCGGCTGGCGACGTCCTTCATGGGTGGGCGGCGAGAGGCGGGCATCCTGAGGCAGTCGAGGGTGATGTCTGCCAGCGCCACCACCGCCTCGTCCGGTGCATCCAGACTCGCATCCTTCAGCTCCCCCACCTCGTATGCCCGAAGCTTCTGCGCCGCCTGAGATAAGGGGAGGTGGTGAGGGGGGGGGGGGTGTGTGTGTTGAGAGGGGGGGGGGGGGGAGGGTCAAGGAAGGGAAGTGATACACTGGAGGGTGATACGACGTCCATCTCCCATTCATGCACATTACAGATGGCTATGCACTTCAGTAGTTGAAAATGGGGTTGGAGTTGACTAAAGTTGCCTCTCTATTGATCAAGGCCTCATGTTGTTTTTGTTTGGTCACTTTTAGACAAAACGCACATTTAGGTTCTGGTTACTGTATCCGTCCAAACCAATAACCAGAAAAGCTGCCTTCCTCAAAATAGCGCCTTGTTTACTAATGGAGGCGCTATTTTTTAAACCCCTTCTCACACCCTCCCCGCCCATCGTGCCACTCTAGCAGGTTTCTTTGATACTGAATGACCGAAACTAGTCCAACACATAAATATGATATTGCTGTAGGAAATGTAACTATACTGAGTGAAAGGTCGAAGTGTTCTCAACCGGACCAGCACGGTAAGGCCAAGTACCATTCGGTTGGCAGATTTTCCCATATGCTAACCGCAAAACAATGCACGAGTCATTAGCCCTCTTTTGCTGTCCGTATTTGTACATCCGTGCGAAACAACAGGACATCATTTCGTGACTCGTAAAAGTCCAAGGCACTCACCATATGTGTTTGCATACACCCACCCAGTCACTGATATGAATGTTTGTGCCCTCCACGGCTGCCCTCTGCCTGGTCAACAATTCCAGCAGCACGACGCCAAAGCTGCTCCAATGCATTGTTGAAAGTGTTGGGAGAGAACAAGGAAGAAAGGGGGTACGAAAGCTGCTTAGGGACTGATGCTGTTGAGGAGCTAAGACAATGATGCAGACAACATGGCAATTGGAAAGAGAAAGATATCGACTTAAAACATTCAATTAAGCCATTCACATACTACAGGAGGAGCTCTGCAAGAGCACACGCACGCACCTGTAGACGTCACTCTTCTCATAGACGATTTGGGTGCGATTGTAATCGGGGTCCAAGTAGCCCGGAGTTCGCGCCACTCGCGTGTGGTCGTCGGCGCCGTCGGCATGGCTGAGCAGCTTGAGCAGCCCAAAGTCGGCAATCTTGGCGTGGTTGTGCTCCCCCACGAGGATGCTGCTGGGCTTGAGGTTGCGGTGCACGATGGGCGTCTCAAAGCTGTGCAGATACGCCACTCCCTCCGCTGCCCCCACCACCAGCTGCAGCCGCTGCTGCAGGGACAGCAGCGCTGGAGGGGGTCGAGGGAAGGGGAGTTGTACAGAAACAAGAGGAACAAGAAACGGGAACAAATGAGCAATAGAAGAGGAACCAAGTGGCAAAGCTGCAGGTGGGAAAATGACTTATACATTGTTCCAAACAGCACTACTAGCAGAAAATGGCAGGGGCTGATCACATGCAACGCGATAGAGCACATGGGAGGGGTTAGAGCACATGAGGCAGGGTACGAGCGTACTCTTGGAGTGGTGGATGTGGTACTTGAGGTCCCCGTGGGGCACAAACTCATACACGAGGATCTGCTCCTGGTGGCCGCTCTCCACACTGTGGTGCAGGCAGAAGCCCAGCAGGCACACCACGTGCTCATGGCGCAGTGACCCCATCGCCCGCACCTGCCAGCACATCGCAGGCGAGGAGCGCCAACGGAGAAGTGTACGAGAAGGAAAGGCTCAAGGAACACTCGTCTCCAACTGCAGGCGGGTGAATGGATTACTCTCACCGGGAGACATCACCTTCACCTGCATGCCTTGTAGGAAGCAGAGGAGGAGGAGGAGGGATCAGGGAGCAGAGGAGGAGGAGTAGCAGGGAGGAGAGAGGTCATGCATCTCAGTATCACCAGCGGCTGACAGTGGGGGGAAAGGGATAGAGCAACCTGCCCAAGAGCACCAAATCAGTCCGACCAACTCTCACCTCCTTCTGGATTTGAATTTTAATGAGCTGAAGGTGGTGTGCAGTTGCAGATGATGAGCAGCTGAAGGGATCTCAAAGAGGGCAGGGGTTTTGAAGAAATATTCTCCCACCCACTTCATTCTGAAAGATGGTTAACCCCAGTCTAGGAGTTGAGCAATCACCCAACCTAGAAGTTGAATGCATTTTGCCCTCGCCACCTCGTTCTGGAATTTGCACCGATGAAATTTATTGGATTCGAAACGCAGCAAGCCTGCTAAGAGTAACGATCTGAGTCTACTAAGGGAAGTAGTGAGAAAAGGTCTACTAATCATAAAGCCAGACACATTAGGCCTGGATGTCGCGTGTGAATGCGTTTCGGCCAGCAAAGGCCTTCATCAGCACACTAAGGATCAAGCAAACTGACTACGAATCCTTTCTACTCCCTCCCTCCAGGAGCCATCAAGCTGAAAGCTTCTTTGTGCGACTCCAGTGAAGCGCGTCTCCAGTGAAGCGCGCCTCCAGTGAAGCGCGCCTCCAATGAAGCGCCTTGCCAGCTACTGATTCTAGCTGTCAAGTTCGACAAGTACTCATGCACCGTGGGAACCTCCAGGAGGTTGGTCACCATCTATTGGGCGACCACCAACTGGTTACAATTGTTCCCATCTAGACTATTTTAGCTTTTACTAATCTATTACAAATTTTGCTAGGTAACTTCCATGCTGTAACGAACCGAGGGTATCTAAGTCCATGATGCTGCAGGGTGTTTTTGAGAATTCTCAGAAAACCCCCTAGCCCTATGTCCAACGTTTTTGGACATCTCCTTATCTTTAGGGCTAGGGGGGCTTTCCTCGGCTCTTTAGATGATAAATTCTTCAATAGCCGCTCCCTATCTTGGAAAGTAACTGTCTTGAAAATGTCTTGAAGAAACTTCTGCGGATATCCACGTGCCCTCAATCGTTTGTAGAAGGCCACTTCCTGTCATAGAAGGTATTCAGAGAAGTATTCTTGATGCAGTGTCTCTTGAGTTCACTGCTGATGAAGCCCAATTTGCAGTCTTTTCCATGAAAGGAGCTGAAGAAAGGTACAGATACCGGTTGAGTGGCTTTTGATAAGAGGCCATATCCAGCCGGTACTGCTCCATCCTCTCTCCTTTGTAAAGAGAGAGGTCAAGGAAGTCAATGCAAGTAGCACTAATCTCCAAGGTAAGCTCGATAGAAGGCCTCAAAGAATTGAAGGTCTCTAGGTATTGTTGGAGTTCCTCCATACTTCTATCCCAGAGAATTAGACCATCGTCTATATACTTGAGATGGGGAAGAGGCTGTAGGGCTGTCTTTCGAGCAAGCTCCTGATCCAGCCAACTCATGTAGAGGATGGCGAAGAATGGAGCTGCAGGAGTCCCCATTGCTGTCCCCTGAATCTGTCTATATACAACATGATCAAACATTCCAATGGAATTTGTCATAACCTATCCAAGAAGACTAACAATAAAAGGCCGTAACGAATGATGTTCTTTCAAAAGGAGCCTGTTACTGACATCTATCCCTTCAAAGATTGGAATCGAGGGGTACAAACTCTGTACATCATATGTATACAGAAGTGTTCCTTTGGGGACTTGAAACTCCTCCAAAAAATGGACCAAGGAGAGACTATCCTTCAGGTAAGTATCTTGTTTCTTCAACAGAGGCCGAAGCTTAAAATCAAGCCACTTAGAGGCCATGGTGGTAACCCAGGAGTGGGAAGCTGCAATAGGTCGACCCACTGGCTCCTTCTTGTGCATTTTCAGAAGCACATAGAAGGAATCAACCTTCCAACCATGGGGTGGTGGCTGAACCAGAGCATCCCAAACTCTCTTGGGAAGGCATGGGAGAAATTCTATCCTACTTCTGGCAAAATCTGTCAAGATCTGTGAAAGGGGAACTTCGGTCAGTCTCTGGTACACGTGGTGGTCTTCGAGATGTAAGTGGCAAAGGCGGATGTAGTGGATTGACAGCTGGGCTGCGTCTGTCGCTCACGCCCACTTCACAACAAGACGCTCTCTGCCAACAAAATATCAAGGTGTTGTTTCTTGCAATCTAGGTGTTCCCAGTTTCCTACGGACGCCCAAACAACATGCCTCTCTCGCAGGCCATCTTATTTCCTCCTAAGCGAGCGGACTATTTGCCCACCTCTCTTCACAGCCCAGCACAGCACACCTGTGAGAAGAAGTGAACGAGAGAATGAGTGAACTATGAACGAAGTGAGTACAAATAGGAAACCCTAACTGGGTTGTACCCCCTATGGGATACCCCACTATAGCCTACACAAATGAGTAAGCTATAATGTTCTGACACACCCCCATAGGCAAAGTGGGGGAGAACAAGGGGTCACAAGACCAGTCAAGTAAAGCAAAGCAAAGCTCAGGGTGGATCACAAAGTCACCACACATTCCGAGCACAAGTTCAAAAAGGCCAGAAGGCCAGTTCACATGCAAGATCATATATAAAGATATACAAGAGTCAAGCAAGTAAGAGCAAGAGTATATATAGGTGAAGCTACAAGCAAGGTCAAGAAGTGAGCAAGTGAGGCAAGATAGACACAAGACCCAACTGCGTGCAACAACGCTGATGATCACAAGGCGCAAGTGCCTTAGTGAAGACATCAGCAGTGTTGGCCTCAGAGGCCACGTACGCAAGTCGCAACTGTCCACGCTGCTGCAGCTCACGAGCAAGAAAGTAGCGGAGGGCAATGTGCTTCGTTCTGTGCTCCAGTCGCTGCTCTCGACACAAGGCCAGCATGGCCTTGTTGTCTACGTACAGGACTGGAGGAGAACGAGGCTGCTCTCCAAGGTCGGTCAGCAGGTAGGTGAGCCAGCGTAACTCCTGTGCAGCCATAGCCCCAGCGTAGACCTCAGCCTCACAACTGGAGCCGAGAACAGAAGACGAGCGGGTAGCCCGCCACGAAACAGAGCCAGAACCAAGGCTGAAGGTGTAACCCTGTGACGACCGCTGCGTAGCCTGGTCGTCAGCCCAAGAAGCGTCTGCGTGCCCAGTGAGGACCACTGGACTCCGCCCTCCAAGCACTAGCCCCATGCCCGACGTACTGCACAAGTAGCGCAACACCCTCTTCGCTGCAGCCATGTGCTCTGGTCGGTGTCTCCCAGGAGCAACATAGCGTGCGAGAATGCTAAGAGGGTATGCAAGGTCAGGACGTGTGCAGGTCATCAAGTACATGAGGCAGCCAACAAGCTCTGCAAACGGGCCACTCGACTCTACGGACTCATCCGAAGGCAGAGCTGAGAGCGAGTGGCGAGTAGGCAGAGGAGTGGCCTGAGGCGAGGAGTACGTGAAGCCGAAGCGCTGAAAGACCTGCTGCACCATGTGTGACCGAGTCAGGGTAATGGTGCGGCGCGCTCTGTCCCGGGTGATCTGCAAGCCAAGGTAGCTACGCAGTTCACCCAGGTCAGTGCACGTATGTCTCTTCTGCAGCTCGGACTTCACGTAGTCGAGTCCAGCAGTGTCAGCTGTGGCAAAGACCAAGTCGTCGACGTACACGAGGATGTAGAACGGCGGTAGAGAGGTGTCGGTGCGCAGAAAAAGCGACAGGTCAGCAGTGGACGGAGCAAACCCAAGTGCCGCGAGCGTAGTCCTCAGTGTGTCGTGCCACTCACGTGGCGCCTGGCGGAGACCGTAGACTGGACGCCGGAGACTCCACTGGGTACCAGGAGGGAAAGACCCAGTGAAGCCAGGTGGGCGACGTAGCCAGATCTCCTCGTGCAGGCTGCCCTGTAAGAAAGCTGTGCTGAAGTCGAGAGAGTGCAGCTCATAGTCACGGTGAGCAGCAACGTGCAGCAGAACCCGAAGAGTGGTCATCTTCGGGGTGGGGGAGAAGGTCTGAAAGTAGTCAACCCCCTGCCGCTGACTGAAGCCACGAGCCACGTAACGCGCCTTGAAGACAGGCGGAGAACCCGGCGGCCGCTTCACCCTGAAAATCCACATGCCACTGACGATGTTCGCCCCAGGAGGGGGAACAGCGTCGACGTAGGTGCCTGTGGACTTCCAGGAAGCCATCTCTGCATCCATAGCTGCCTGCCACTGAGAGGAGTAGGGACCCTCTATCGCCTCCGCGTAAGAGCGCGGAGTTGGGATGTCTGGTGCATCCGGGTCTCCCTCAGGGGCTAGCAGTCAGACGCGAGATGAGGTGAAGCGGCGGCCAGACACTGGAACTCCTCCTGCCTGTCCTCAAGGACGTCCGTGCCAAGGGCACACTCACCCCCGACGGACGGAGGACAGGCAAACTCAGACTCAGCGACAAGACTGGCAGCGTAGTCGAGACGACAGCGCGCAACAAAGTCGACAAGCTCAGTGACAAGGGCAGACGCAGCAGACGACTCGAAGGAAGGGTCAGTGACAGCAGTAGCAAGGAGACGCGTGACAGTAGGACTGGCAGCACGAAGAGAGTCCGACTCCGGGTCGGCAAGAGCAGGAAGAGAGGAAGCAGGAGGAGAAGGCAAAGGGGCACGCAGAGGAGCAGTGGACGGACGCAGTGACATTCGGTGCGTGCCAGGGACAGGAGGAGGACGCTGACGCGACCCGCGACCACTAGCGCGCTCAGTACGAACAGGCGACGCAGGACGAGACGCAGGCTCACGACGCTCAGTAAGACCTCCAGTCGGACCAGCGTAGGGAGAAGGAGCAGGCAAAGGGGAGGCAGGCTGTAGCTGTGGCTGTGACTAGACGGGCTGTGGACCCTGTAAGGG